GGAGTCCATGGATTCAGGGTCCTAAAGTCTTCACTTTCAATCCAGCTGATCTAGACTGAGGTGTTGATAGACTGGTGTTGAATGAGAGGTCGTGCTCAACACTGTCTGGCTGAACAGTTTTTAAAGTGTGCGTGACACAGATGGAGCATGAGAGACGGATAGAAAGCGAGCATGAAGCTGTACATTTCAAGTGTGTGTGAGTGTGTTCACATTGATAATGGTGTGACACACAGTCTGAATAATGAGCTGGGCTCAGGTGGACACACACCTTTGTCTCGACACCCAGTCTTCGGCTGAAGCTTACACTAATCATGCACTCACTCACTCACTCACTCACCCAGACACATGCACAAACTCGCGCTCAGACGTCACTCTTTCTCCCTCAGCAAAAAAATCGATCCTTTTTCAGCAGCTTAACGCTGCCATGTTCACAAATAGCATTTCCCATAAACACCTGACAAACACTTACATACATTTACCTATTGTAGCTAAATGAGGGCCAATGTTGATTATAGGACAAACCTCAACCAACAACACCCCAAATCTCAACATTTTAATGCCACATAATTTCTCGGTTACGTACGTAACCCTCGTTCCCTGATGGAGGGAACGGAGACGTTATGTCGTGATCGACATTATGGGAATTCAATTGGGAGCCTCAATCATCTCTGACTTTAAGAGAAAACGCCAATGAAATTTGGCTAGTGGATTTTGCATACCTGAGCCACTACCCGTGCATACGGGTATAAATAGGCGATAGGTGCATCTGCTCTTCAGGTTTTATGCTGAGGAGCCGAGAACTTGTCCCTGGCCACCAGCGATGGTTCGAGGTTGTGGCAAGGGGACATAACGTTATGTACGTAACCGAGACGTTTCCTATCTGTCGGTCACTACGAGTTACGTCATGATTGACATTATGGGGCCCTGGAAAGCGCTACAACCTGAACCCCGCCACAACCCCATTTGGAGTGAGCCCTCACCTTCAGGGGGCACGGCACACCTTGGAATTGGTACTCCAAGGCGATGGCATCCACTATCCAGTGGGCCAACCTCTGCTTGGAGACAGTCTTCCCTTTCTGCTGACCTCCGGAGCAGACAAAGAGCTGCTCAGAGCTTCTAAAGCTCCGGGTGCGGTCCACGTGTATGCACAGTGCTCTTACGGGAGCACTTATCTGCCTCCTCCGAGGGCAGTGCTTGCAGGTTCACCACCTGATCTCGGAAGGGAGTGATGGGAACCTTGGGCACGTATCCAGGCCTCAGGACAACGTGAGAGTAGGCCGGCCCGAACACAAGGCACTCTTCGCTCACTGAAAATGCTTGGAGGTCCCCGACCCTCTTGATGGAAGTGAGCGCGGTCAGGAGCGCTGTCTTAGCAGACAGGAACTTAAGCTCGACTGAATCCAGCGGCTCAAAGGAGGAGGGCACCAGGGATGGCCTAGGAGGATTTAACCTGAGATGAGATCGTGCTTTCCCAGGGACTAGCCGTCCACTGAATCGTGATGTGCTGCGATGGCAGCCACATACACTTTCAAGGTGGAGGGTGACAGCTTAGGCTCCAACCTTTCTTGCAGAAAAGAAAGCACTACTCCAAATCGTGCAACTTCGGGGGTCTTCTCGGCGAGAAGAACACCCTAGCCTGAGTGATCGTGCTAACCACCGCAGGTGACAGATTAGCTAGGTCTGCCGCGTCCCATCCCGGAGCCACACTTGGAGGTTCCAACGGTCTGGACGTGGGTGCCAAATGGTGCTGAGCCCCTGAGAGAGCAGGTCCTGTCTCAGGGGGATGCGCCAGGGAGGGGTTGTCGCGAGGAGCATGATGACGTGATCGTAGACCTCCCTGTCGGTTGATGTATGAAACCGCCGCAGTGTTGTCCGTGCGGACTAACACGTGCTTGTCTTGCAGCAGTGGCCGACTCCGCCGCAAGGCTAGTAGCACTGCCAGCAACTCGAGGCAGTTGATGTGCCAAAGCAGTCGAGGCCCTGTCCAGAACCCCGAGGCTGCCTGCCCGTTGCATGTAGCGCACCAGCCCGTACTGGAGGCATCTGTCATGACGACATCCCAGGACACTTGTTCTAAGGGCACCCCGGCCCATCCAGGGTCTGAATGAGCGGAAACATGTTGGTGTGACGGTCACGCAAACTGTACCGCGGCGCCATGCCCACCTCGGGACTCTGGAGTGTAACCAGTGCTGAAGTGGTCTCATATGCAGCAATCCGAGCGGCGTGACTGCAGCTGCGGATGCCATATGCCCCAGGAGCCTCTGAAAGTGTTTCAGTGGTACCACTGTCCTGCCTCTAAGGGAACTCACGGACTGGGTTCTGAGTTCAGCACGGACTGGGCACGCTTGTTGGTGAGACGCACCACCATATTTACCGAGTCTAACTCCATACTGGAAAAAGAGAGCTTGCTCCATTCCCAGTTGACCCGGAGCCCCAACTGCCGGAGCACTAGGTCCCTGTGATCACACAACTGTTCTCGCACGCGGGCCATGCTCGAAATAGCTGATGATCCTGATGCCCACTTCCCATAGCGGGGCAAAGCCGCCCTCCGTGACCTTCGTAAAGACACAGGGGGACAGGGACAGCCAGAAGGGGAGGGCCTGACCCTCAAGCGCAAACCATAGGAATGGCCTCAGTCGAGGGCACGTCGAGACATGAAAGTAAACGTCCTTCAGGTCGACCGCTGCAAACCAATCCTGGGGCTGGAGGCATCTGATGATGCGCTTCTGCTTCAACATCTTGAATGGGAGCTTGAGAAGGGCCCGATTCAAGACTCGCAGATCCAGGATTGGCCGGAGGCCACCGCCCTTTTTGGGTACAATGAAGTAAGGGCTGTAAAACCCCTGCTTCATCTCGGCTGGAGGGACCGGCTCAATTGCATCCTGTGCCAGGAGGACAGCAATCTCAGACAGCATCGCCTTCTGTCTGATCACAGCAGAACTCCCCGAGTCCCCAGAGGGACTGGCCGGAGCTGCGTGGAGAGGCAACGCGTCTCCCAACCGCAGCTTCTTGGCAGCTGGCAAAGGGGGGCATCGTGGGCAAGAGTGAGGAAGCGGCGCATCGCTCACTGTAAGCCCAAGGGCCTAAGAACCCGGAGGAAAATAAACTTTTTTGAGCCAGCGGCGGAACAGAAACAAACAAAAACTGAAGATTCACCGCATGGCCCTCCTCCGAGGGAAGGAGCGGCACTGTCTCCGCCATCTCCTGAGAAAGAGCAGCTTCCCACATCTCTGGGTTGCCCGTGTCAGGGCCGCTTCATCGACTTCTTAGATGACTTAGCGGCCGGCTGGGACACGGGGGACGCCACACTCCTGCGAGAGGCTCAACACGCTGGCCTTGATGTTGTTTCAGCACAGGGCAGAGCGGCTCTGGAGGATGCAGGAGGGCGCCCACGGCGACGAGCAAACTGGAGCTTGGCCCCCGGCGGAGCGGTGGCAGATGGTGCATTACGCCGGGGTAAGATGTGTTGGATGGCCTCAGTCTGCTTCTGTACTGTCGAGAACTGCTGGGCACAGTTCTCGACGGCGTCGCCGAACAGTCCAGCCTGGGAGACGGGAGCGTCGAGAAAGCGCACTTTGTCGACATCACTCGTCTCAGCAAGTCTGAGCCCTAGATGGTGCTCTTGGACCACAAGTGTGAACATCGCCTTCCTGAGGGACCGCGCTGTGACTTCCATCGCCTGTCGGGCAAGGTCAGTCAACGAGCACAGCTCCTGCATCAACCTCGGTTTGGTATTACCCTTGTGCATTTAAATGCCCTGGCTCGGTGTACTCGCAGGATAGCCACGGCATGCAGGGCAGGGCAGTCCAACTATAATTATTTGTAAAAAATTTATGTCCACAGACCTAATCTGGCAAAATATTCTTCCTTATTTGGTAAAACAATTCATAAATAAAGTATATAATTATATAAAGTACACACTAATTTAATTCATTAATTTAAAAAAATCATTTGTACTATATATAATTATATACTTTATTTATGGATTGACAGCTGGACAGACAGATGGACATTCACAATCAATCCTTCTGGCTGCCCTTCATCTCCACACTTATCATCATAATGTATTAAGTGGTAATGAAGACTAATAATGACTGGGTTATATTTAATGAGTTACTCAGTACTAATTACAATTGAATGGGTTAATAATTCAGTTATAGAGAGGCCACACGCGTTCAAGGACTCAACCAGCAGTTTATCAATACAATAAATCCAATGAGTGTCAATTTGCATTAGGAAAAGTTTTTTTTTTAGCTTTTCCAATCCCAATTTTTCACATTCCCAAAGAACTATAGTTAAAAAAAAACAGCAAGATTGAGAGGGAAGAAGAAGAAGATGAAGAAAAAAACAATCCTTCGTAAACACAAGAAAGAACATCAGGGCAAAAAAACCCCCCACACATTGCTCTCAAGAAAGGAGTTCAAAAAATGAACATTTATAGCAATATCTAAGATAAAAGATGCCAACATGTGCTGATCCATGTGTGTGTGTATCTGTGTTTTTCTGGCTTTTCTCCTAACGGTAGCATTTTATTTCTTAGATTTATTGGCTGGTCTTTACTACCGCATCCGGAGAACTATTCACACTGACAAAACACGGTGAAAACACCTCTTTGTCTTCGTGAGAGTTGGAGATAAGTTTAAAGCCTAATAATCGCTCTGAGTCTTGAAAAACATCATAAAGCAACTGCTGTAAAATTGTGCTTCAGACAGCACTATCGGAGTATTACATTTCAAAACCACTGTTCTTCTCTCATTTAATGAAGATACAGTATTTTTTCTGCCTTCATCTTCAACTTTCAGAAGTTGCACATCTCCCTCCAAAGTCAAACGAGAAAGTTTCAGCTCATTGCACACAGACATACACAGACATATATGCACACGAGGTTCATATACTCTTCATCACTACCAAAGAAAGGGTGTTTGCTTTTTCATTTTCCAAAAAGAGACTTAAAAAAAAAAAAAAGACAAGAAAAAAGAAAAAACATGCAACAAAAATACCTTCATCTCGTGGCCGGTTCAGTGTTGATTCATCGTGTTTTTTTGTGAGTGGACCTAGGGTTAAGACAAAAAGGAGGGAAAAAGAGAAAAGAGAAAATTCAAAAAAAGATTACTGTGGCAAGAGAAAAATCAAAAAAGAAAACAAGAAAGAGCAAAAAACAAGAAATCAGCAAGAGGTTATTGTTCTCATTCTGTTCAAAAGGTGACAAAAAACTAAAGCAAAGGCAAACAACAAAAAGCATCATAAACACAGAATAACAAGAAAGACACAAATCGGCTACAAGATCAAAGAAGTTTGATGTTAGTTCTGTGAATATTCTCTCTCGCCATTGTTTTGTTGCGGCTCGCAGGCCTTTTCTTTAACACCAGCTTTACTTGATACTGTTCCGACGGCTTGTTTGGATTCCGGGGAAGAAGGAAAAATCTATGTGGAGGAATCAGGAATTAACCTCTGAGGTATGAAAAATAAGAATTCCCATTCCCACCCCAGTCCCCCTCCCTCCTCCGTCGTTCCTCGTGCTCCGGTCAAGCTATCATCCGCCTCACTTTGAAAATGTGAGAGGTGGTAGAGAAGAGGACCTGAGGGAAGGAGGGCATAACACACCAGGCACGTGTTCATGTTCTCACACAAACACGGCTCAAACACCCTCTAGGGAAACGGGAACAGAGGTTGCTGTGCACTGCTTGCACATACACACACACACCGTGTTGACGCTCTTGTCTTTGAGTGTAAACTGTGGAGTTTAGCCTTTCTATACAAACACAGCACAAAAATAAAACTTTCAAATAAACCAACTCTTATTCAAAAACCCTGGAAGTGTTCTGAAACATTTATGATCAAAAATATACTCATTTCATTTAACCTTTGAAAGTCTTGACTCGAAAGACTTGAGACCACAATGGAAATCTGGGATTCAGCATCTAAAAAAACTAAATGTTTTAAAAATGAAGATATGAGTGAGTATAAATGAGTGTAAATGAGTGTATATAAATATCCTTACTGTCACTTTTGATCAATTTAATAAAACTTTGCTGAATCAAAATAGAGTCTAAACAGAAACAAAGCAGGTGCAGATAGAAGTGGAAACGTACTGTAAAAAGGAGTGTAACTTCATGAAACAAACCATTTTTGTCAGCGGATGCATTATAAAGATATTTTTAGACCCCTTTTACACTTCTTTCTGTGTGAGTTGACCTGAAAAATGCCTGTCAAAGAGAGACAGACAGAGAGGCAGAAAAGAGAGAGATAGATATAGAAAAATAATGAAGAGGTCTCTCTACTGGACATGGCTGTCCTTTCTCGATAATAAAGAGAAAAAAGAAAAGAGTGCATAGATGTGTGAGAGAAAGACAGGTGAGATCACTCTCGCTCTGGTAGAGATGGAGAGTAAAATCGGGGGACAATGTGTGTATTCGTTGACCGAGAGTAATATCATGTCAGTCAAACACACAAGAGAGGCAGTCCAGCCAAACAGGAAGTGCCATCTGCCACTGAGTTCACAGAAGGATCTGTGAGTCTACTACTGTCTCCCCTTTTCTGCGATGACAGGAGAGCACCTAATGGGGCACTTGGTGTCAGGAGGTAATCTGATTGGGTGGAAAACGAAATGACAGGATGTGGAAGCCAAATTTAATGAGATTCAATAAAGGTTGGGCTGATTTATTGCATGTGAGCATTAAAAACGAGGAGGGAATGTTATATAAAAGTTTGAGTTTTGCCTATTCCTTGCATTATAACGCTTCCCATTTTTGTTCAGAATCATTGAAGACTCAATGCTGTGCTTAGTTTGCATTCATTTCCCACCCTTATGTAAATGAAGTTCAATAAAAATACAATGTTGGTTAAAAGATATGTATATGCATTTAGCCTTTGTACGCAATAAAGGGTGGCTCATTCCTGTTATGCAATACAAGCTCATGCCCTTATATACTGTACATGATTAAAAAAAGTTAAAATTTTTATAATCTCAATTTTAATTCAATTGATTATTTATTTATTTAATGGAAAAGCCATTAAATCCAGTCTTCAGTGTCATTTGATCCTTCAGAAATGATTTTAACAAATGTGACCCTGGACCACAAAAACCAGTCATAAGGGTCATTTTTTCGAAAATTAAATATGATATATTTACGGTAGGAAATTTACAAAAAGCATTATAACGCTTCCCATTTTTGTTCAGAATCATTGAAGACTCAATGCTGTGCTTAGTTTGCATCCATTTCCCACCCTTATGTAAATGAAGTTCAATAAAAATACAATGTTGGTTAAAAGATATGTATATGCATTTAGCCTTTGTACGCAATAAAGGGTGGCTCATTCCTGTTATGCAATACAAGCTCATGCCCTTATATACTGTACATGATTAAAAAAAGTTTACATTTTTATAATCTCAATTTTAATTCAATTGATTATTTATTTATTTAAATCCAGTCTTCAGTGTCATTTGATCCTTCAGAAATGATTTTAACAAATGTGACCCTGGACCACAAAAAACAGTCATAAGGGTCATTTTTTCGAAAATTAAATATGATATATTTACGGTAGGAAATTTACAAAAAATCTTTTTGGAGCATGATCTTTACTTAATATCCTAATGATTTTTGGCATAAAAGGAAAATCGATCATTTTGACCCATACAAGGGTTTTTTTTTTTTTTGGCTATTGCTAAAAATATACCCCAGCGACTTAAGCCTGGTTTTGTGCTCCAGGGTCACAAATCCATTTGGTGCTCAAGTAGCATTTATTATTGTTATCAATGCTGAAAACGGTCAACATATTTGTGGAAACCATACTACTTTTTTTTCAGGATATTTTAATGAATAGGAAGTTCAAAAGAAAAGCATTTGTTTCAAATAGAATTATTTTGTAACACATATATTTACTTTTAAAATTGAATGCATCCTTGCTAGATATACGTATCAATTTCTTAGACCCCAAATGTTTGAAGGCACATACACACAGCTGAGCCATTTTCCTAATTTCTTCATTATTATAATTCCTCTCAATATAGACTTATTGTCTCAGGATGGCCCTTCAACCTTCTGAAATCAATTCCATCCAATCTAAGAGGATCATTTCTACTTTCCACTCTCTGATTTTTACCTGGATGGAGATATTGCACCCAAATTCATCCTCCTCCAATCCATTTGACCGTCCCTTGCCTCTCTCGTATTCATTTTCTTTCTCCTCTGCTGCACGCCTCCCATCCAGTAGTTTTTTTTCTGATCATCTCTCCTCATCATTTCTCTCCTCATAACCTCTTTTCCCAAAGCCTAACTTTTCTCTATTCTCTTTGGTGCTTACACAATCTATTATTTCAGCCCCAGTTCCTGGTGCTGACCTTGCTGTGCCCTCTGGCCTTAACAGGGCAGCTGACACCAGCAAACAGCCTATGTGAGAACGTGCGCACATGATGCTCTTCTGCTTTTACGCACATGCACGTATTAGTGCGAGTGTGAATGTGGTTAACGCTTTAACTGTTTTTGTTGAGATGTTTGTGGTATGAAGGTTTTTGCCAGGCAGTTTGTTTATCATTTTGTATGTGTGTGGGTGGTATAAATATGTAAAATCATGCTTTGCATGCATGCACGTGATTGCATGTGTGTCTAAGTGTGTGTACGTATGTATACATGACCGAAAGTAGACGAACGCTATGCAGGAGTTACACAAGGTTGCTGTTTTGCGTGGATGAGCTGTTCACACACACACACACACACACAGCAAACCTCATCAGCAGATGCCAGTCGCATTACACACTCCCTCAGTGTTAGATGTCAGGGCTCGTAATCAGGCCGACCACAGGTGTCTGTGGACCGGAACGTTCTAGCAGGAATCTACCCTCTCCTCTGATATCCCAAACGGGGGGATATGAGTTCAATCTGCTACCTGTGGCTCACCCTCTTTACAGAAATATGATTCAGAAAATCAGCTTGAAAGAGGAATGAGATAGCCAGATGGCTTCCACCTGATGTTTTCATGCCTCTCAGCTTCTCCTGAGTGGAAATGGGTAGAAATTAGAGCGGAGATAGAAAGAGAGCACCCAAGTGACTTTGATAGACTGGATATAATTGAGCTCTATTTAACAGCATTAAAGATGCCTGGCCGACCTGGTGTGAAGTGCGTTTCTATTATACGACATGGGGAGATGCAAATGAGAATTAGATTTAGCATTAGAGGCATTTCTATTAAACAGAGTATTGCCACAGTCCAGCATGGATCTATAATGAGTTGAGCTTTTTTTTCCCGCTTTGATAAAGTCGTGAGGAAGATTCTTGGTAGAGAGAGGAAATATGTAGCAGGTGGTATCACTGATATACAATTAAATTTTTTTATTAATATTTTGAATGATCTTTTATATTGTCCATTTTTTATTTTAGTTAAATTTTTAGTAATTTAGTTGTGTGTTTTGTCATTTTTATTAGTTTTTATATGTGACCCTGGACCACAAAACCATAAGTCATAAGTAGCATGGGAATATTTGTAGCAATAGACAAAAATACAATGTTTAGGTCAAAATTATAGATTTTTCTTTTATGCCCAAAATCATTAGGATATTCTAAAAAAATGATTTAGTAAATTTCTGTAAATATATCAAAACTTAATTTTTGATTAGTAATATGAATTGCTAAGAAATTCATTTGGACAACTTTAAAGGTGATTTTCTCAATATTTAGATTTGTTTGCACCCTCAGATTCCAGATTTTCAAATAGTTGTATCTCAGCCAAATATTGTCCTCTCCTAACAAACCATCAATGGAAAGCTTATTTATTCTTCTATTACATGATGTATAAATCTCAATTTCAATTGAGATTTATACATCATTTTGACCTCATTTTGTGGTCCAGGGTGTGGTATATATGTGTATATAGTTTTTATTCATATTTATTTAGGGTTTAGTTGTTTCAAGTTAAACTAAGTGAAAATGAGAAATGTTAGCAACTAGATGAAAAAAAATTGTTTCAGATTTGTATTATTTTATTTCAGTTAATTTTAATTTAATTTCAAGTAACTAAATGTTTATTTTTGTTTTATATGTTTTATTTAACTATAATA